GGAGGGAGGGAGGAAGGAAGGAAGGAAGGAAGGAAGGAAGGAAGGAAGGAAGGAAGGAAGGAAGGAAGGAGGGAGGGAAGGAAGGAGGGAAAAAAGAGAAACCAGAATTCCACCTTTAAATGTTTAAGTAAAACAAGAGCAAACTATATACATATGCACATATACATCACAAACTCCTGCTTACCCAACTTCCAAGTAAGCAAGGAAGAAGAGGGGGTTTTCTTTGTTGAAGAAAAAACATCACCATTAAAGCAAAGCAGTAAGAAGGGATTCCACCATCAGTTTGGGAGTCAATATAACACAACTGCAAAATCAAAAGGAAAAAAAATACAAGTAGTTAGCTTCTTCAATTTTCACAAAACAAATAGCTTTTTCTTCTACTTTAATCATTGCTTTAAAAGTCTAAAGAATAACCTAAAAATCTAATAACCCAGTATATACATCACCTTATTAGTTTCCCTTCCCATTTTTTTTCTTTTGAGATGAGGTTTCACTGTGTAAGTTTGCCCTGAACTTGCAATCATCTTGCCTCCCCATCCCAAACAGTGAAATTACAGGTATATACTGTACACTAAGGGAGAGAAAGTTCTTAAGAAATAAGCGTTCAGATGTCAAACACTAGGTAACTGTTACATTAACTAAAAAAAGCGACTCTAAGTCAGATAACATGACTAAAATGAACCGATGATAAAACTAACCAGCTTTGTCATCTTGAGTTAAGTTTTATGTGGGATGGAGAGATGACGGTCCAGCAGTTAAGAGCACTGGCTACTCTTGAAGAGGACCTGGGTTCACTACCCAGTACCCACGTGGCAGCTAACAACCGTCTGTGACTCCAGTTCCAGGGGAATCCAATGCACTCTTCTGATCTCCACAGGGACTGCATGACACAGATGCACTTATACACACAGGCAGGTAATACACTCATACACGTAAAAATAAAATAAATGAAAACTTTATTTAAAAGAAGCTTTTTTATTTTTTATTTTATTTTTTGGTCTTTTTATGACTATAGCCTGAGCCGGCCTGGAACTCCCTATGTAGACCAGGCTGGCCTCGAACTCATAAAGATCCGCCTGCCTCTGCCTCCTGGGGGCTGGGATTAAAGGCATGCGCTACCATGGCCACCCTGCCCCCAAAAACCTTTTAAAAGAAAAAAAAATGAATGTAAAACTGTTTCCTATTCCTAAAATGCAAAGACTACATTATTAACTAGTCAAGAGTCTGACTTCAGGGCTCAAGATTTTCAATCTACTCTACATGGCTACTGATGTCACCATGAATATCTGTAATCTATGAGTCCCTGACACTAAGCTCTGACCTGACATCCAATCAACAGAGAAACTGAGTCCTCAGGACTTTGGAACATAAACTCTTCTTACTTTATCTTGTTTGGGGTGATCTCCCACCTAATTGGGCACTCTACCAGTCTGGTAGAAGGCCAAAATTGTGGCAAGGTGCCCTACCCACCAGTTCTCTGCCTAAGCATTGAGCTGTTGCCCTCACCACATCCTCCTGCTGTAAGGTTCTGTCAGACCTTACTGGAGAGTAAGTACGGTCACTACAAGCTAAGTGAGCTGCACAAAGCAACTGTCACTCCAAGTAAAAGACAGAACTCTGCCACAAGTTCTATCTTCAGGGTTGTCCCTCAAGCTAGAAATGCCACTTCAACCACAACTCTAACAAAGATCTGGCTGCCCCCAGCAATCCCCATGTGCTGCATCCAAGTACCAGCTTCTCAGCCATAAGGTTAGGGCCCCTGAACCTCACCATCAACATCAAGCCTCGGAGGTCTTTCCCTGTTCTTATGTTCCTTCTCACCCTCCAGCTCCACATCATCACGCAGGAACCTCCTACATTTTCTTTTTGCCTTCTCTGATGCCCCAGGAACCTTTGTGACTCAAAGGGCCCTACACCAGCCTATTTCCCATCCCAATGGATATACCAGCAGCAGGAGCAGCAACAGAAGCAGCAGTGGAGGTGGGACATGGAAAGGAAGGTCTGAGTCACCTATCTCTGAGGTTAAGGTCAATCACCCTAATCCCCTGTACCCTCAACTCCCCATCTTCGATCACATCTCTCACTAAATGACAAGTGACAGATCAGCTACATCTCAAAGGGGAGGCAGCTGTGCTGGGTGGACCTGTGGAACCTCTAAGTTAATCAAGTGACTTCCCCTCCCACATTCTAAGACATATTAACTGTTCTGCTGCTGCCAGAAGAGTAGGTCCTCAGTTACAAGCTCAGTGGTCAGATAGAATGCTTCCTGTAATTACTATAATGTGCCATCTTTGGGGCAGAGGACGGTGAGCTCTTACCCAACTCTGGTTATTTTTGAAACAGGGCCTCAATATATAAACCAGGCTGACCTTAAATAAGCAGTCCTTCAGTTCCTGCCTCAGCCTCCCAAATGCTGGAATTACAGTTGTATACTGGCTCTGCTCAACACTTGTTTCCTGGAATATTATGTGCTGTGAAGAACTGACTCCTACAGCCAGTTTTTCCTAGACCCTGAGGTTCAGTGTCTGGTAACTACAATCTCTTCCAAGGGAGAATCTTGTTCAAATTTACCTCCTGAAGCAAGGAGCCAAAGCCACTGCCAAATTCCTCCACCCCATCCAACTGGCTCTCATGACTTTATTTATTGTAATAAGATTTTATAATATTTATATCTATTGAGTCCTCTGCTTCCTTTTTCTCCTCTCTGTAATATTGGCTATGATCCTAAGTAATATATACAAAGTAATAAAAAACAAGTTGGAGGGCCAGGCATGGTGGCACACACCTTTCATCCCAGCACTTGGGAGGCAGAGGCAGGCGGATCTCTGTGAGATCAAGGCCAGCCTGGTCTACATAGAGTTCCAGGCCAGCTGGGGCTACAGGGAAGCCCTGTCTCAAAAAGACCAAAAAAGAAAAAAAAAAAAAGTTGGAGATCAACTATCATCTTTTTTTAATATTTTACTTATTATTTTATGTATATGTGTGTTTTCCTTGTGCATAGGTAAGTACACTGGTGTAGTGCAATGCCTGCAGAGGACAGAAGAGACTGTGGGAGCCCCTGGAACTGGAGTTACAGACAGTTGTTAGGTGCCATGTGGGTGCTGGGATTCAAACCTGGGTCTTCTCCAAGAACAGTGTTCTTTTTTTTTAAATTGTATTTATTATTTTTATTTTATGTGTATGCATGTATTGCCTGCATGTAGGTAAGTGCACCCATGTTGTGCAATGCCCACGGAGGTCAGAAGAGGCTGTCCTGGAACTTGCTATGTAGATCAGGCTAGCCTTGAACTCAGAGATCTGCCTGCCTCTGCCTCCCCAGTGCTGGAATTAAAGGCGTGCACCACCATGCCAAGCCTGAGCAACACTTTTAAAAAACATTTTTTTTTATTAATCTTATTTTATGTATGACTGTATTGCTTGCATGTGTGTCAATGCACCCATGTTGTGCAGATCACCTAGAACTGGAGTTAGGATGGTTGTTAGCCGCCATGTGGGTGCTGGGAATTGAACCTGGGTCCTCTGCAAGAGCACTCAGTGTTCTTAACTGAGCCACCTCTCCAACCCAAGCAGCGCTTTCTAAAAGCCACTTTAGGAAACAGTCTCTAAGACTACTCTCTTTTTTCAAATTCAGGGTACCTTGTTTAAGAAATCAGCAACATATGCTCACTTTGGCAGCACATATACTAACACTGGAATCATACAAAAAAGATCAGTGTGGCCTGCATAAGAACAACATGCAAATTTATGAAGTATTCCATTTTACAGAAAGAGAGAAAAATAAATCAGGAGCAATGCAACACACCTGTAATCCCAGAACCCGGGAGATTGAGTGAGTAGGATCACAAATTCAAGGACAATCTGGGCTACATAGTAAGTTAAAGGCTATCCTGGATTAAATAGCTAGATCTTATATAAAAAACAAACAACAACAACAAAAAATAGTAGCACATGGTAGTAGGTTCCCATAGACTTGGTTAAAAAAAAAAAAAAAAAAAAAAAACTCCCATATAATTTGATAGCAGACCGAATAAAAAGAGAAAAAAGGGGGCTAGAGAGATAGCTCAGAAGTTAAGAGCACTGGCTGCTCTTGCAGAGGACCCAGGTTCAAGTCCCAGCACCCACATGGTGGCTAATAACCATCTGTAACTCCAGTTCCAGGGGACTCCAACACCCTCTTCTGACCTCTATGGGCACTGCATGACAGAGGTGCACTTACACACATGTTGACAATATACTCATGCACATAAAATAGAAATAAATTTTTTATTTTTATCATGTGTCTGAGTGTTATGCCTGCATGTATGTAAGTGCACCCATGTTGTGCAATGCCTGTAGAGGTCAGAAGGCGTCATATTCCCCTGGAACTGGAGTTACAGACGGTTGTTGGCCACCATGTGGGTGCTGGTAATTGAACCAGCCAATGCTCTTAACCACTGAGCCATCTCTCTGGCCCAAAATAAATATTTTTTTAAAAGGAAAAAAAAAAACCCAGCAAAAAAAATTGAGTAGCACTTATATTCTTCTAACACATATCTTATTTTATTGAATAAAAGAATGTGCTGGGCATGGTGGTCTTTAATCTTAGCACTTAGGAGACAGAGGCATGAGAACTGCCTCAAGTTTGAGACTAGCCTAGCCTACACAGAAAATTTCAGGCCACTCAGAGATACACAGCAACACCCTTGTCTCCAAAAAAAAACAAAAAAAAACACATTATTTTAGACCTCAAAAAAAATAGAGCATAATTAAGAATTACCTCAGCAGAATTTTCAAAACAGCCTCAATACTAGTAAAAATAAAGGAGATGGCTCAGCAGATAAAAGCACTGCCACACAAGCCTAATGACCTGAATTCAATGCCCCAACCAACAAGAGAGAATAGACTCCTGAGAGTTGATCTGTGACCTCTACACACAAACTGTGGCACCTATGTACCAGCATTCACAAACACATATACATCACATCTGCAAACACAATAATCAATGAAATTTTTTTACAAATTTAAATAAAGGCTCAGATAAGTGAAATACCTTGCTTTAAAATCACATAATGACAAGCCGGGCATTGTGGCACACACCTCTAATCCCAGCACTCAGGAGGCAGAGGCAGGCAGATCTCTGTGAGTTCAAGGCCAGCCTGGTCTACATAATGAGTTCCAGGCCAGCTGGGACTACAGGGAGACCCTGTCTCAAAAAAAAAACCAAAAAAGAAAAAATATCACATAAAGACATGGCAAGGGGGAAAAGGCAACTAGAGTTGCAATTGGTTCATTTTATTTCACAGTACTGAATTTCTGTAATTCCTGGGCACTCTTCAGAATGTGAGATAAATAAAAGGAGTGAGCCATATACCTCCCAGCCTGGTTTATTGCTCCCAATCACAAAATTTTGGTTTTTTAAATTTTGTTATTTTTATTTTATGTGTATGAGCGTATTGCCTGCGTGTGAGTGCACCTGTGTCATGCAATACCGCAGAGGTCAGAAGAGGGATTCAGATTCCCCTGGAACTGGAGTTAAGGATGGTTCATAGCCACCATGTGGGTGCTGGGAATCGAACCCGGGTCCTCTACAAGTGTAGTCAGTGCTCTTAACTGCTGAGCCATCTCTCCAGCCCCCCTCCCCCCAATCACAAAGGTTTTTAAAAATCTCTTTCCTGAAAAAACTGGATCATTTACTCAAAAAATATTTGTTGGAAAAAAAAAAAAAAAGAGGCACTAGGGCCTAGCAATGAATAAATAAAACAGATAAACAGCCCTACCTTCAAAGAGTTCACGATTTCGTATAAGAAAACAGATGGCAAACAAATATGTGTAACAAGTGTTATGAAAAATAGAGCAGGATAAAGGATAAAGGCAGGAAAAGCCAAAGATGCTATTTTAGATAGTCTAGGAAACTTTGATAAAGAAAAAATTAAGCAAAAATATGAGGGGGAAAAAAAGTGTTCTGGATACTGGAAAAGGAACACTTCAGATAAAGGGAGGATCAAAAAGAAGTTCCAGCCTTAGTTTTTTGAGTGTTGTTTATTTTTCAAATTATATTTTGTTAGCTGTTGTTAACCCAAACATATAAGCAGTCAAAATTTTCCAAAAAGAATGCCCTGGAGGATTTTGCACTTTAAGTTATCGCTCTATCACTACTCTCTTGATTAGTCTTATTTTGTGTAAAACTGAAATTTACTCATCACTAGTCTAACAAATGATTACAAATGTCTGTGGTTATTTGGGGCTGACACTAGCAATCCCTACTCCTTCCTACCCCACACCAAAAAAATTAACACAAGGTAACTCTCTAACCTTTAGAAACACAAATTCTTTAGGTAATTAGCTGTTACCCAATCAGAAATTGCTATAGGCTGCTGATAAGCTAGAGAACATAGAATAATATTCACAGATTGAGATTGGGGGAAAATGTCCACAGAGGAACTTTAAATTATATACCATATCTTGGAATCTTACAACTTTAAATTTCTTTTTTTAAAATATTTTATTTATTATTTTTATTTTATGTGTATGCGTGTATTGCCTGCATGTAGGTAAGTGCACCCATGTCATGCAATGACAGCAGAGGACAGAAGAGGCTGTCAGATCCCCTGGAACTGGAGTTATGGACAGTTGTTAGCTGCCATGTGGGTGCTGGGATTCAAACCCGGGTCTTCTGCAAGAACAGTCCAGTGTTCTTAACCGCTGAGCCATCTCTCCAGGCCCACAACTTTAAATTTCTAAGAATGAAATTGGCCTTAAATATTAGGATAAAAAAAGGAGATATTCTGGGGCTGAGATGGCTCAGCAATTAAAGCACTTGCTGTACAAGCAAAAGGACTGGAGTTTGGATCCCCAGAACCCACGTAAATGCCAGTCTCGAAAGGCAGACACATGGGATCCCCAGAGAAAGTTTGCTATTAAAACTAGCTAAAGTAAGCTCTGGGTTTGACGGAGAGATCCTGCCTCAAAGAATTAGGTCAAAGGGAAATTGAGGAAGATTCCCAATGTCAACCTTGGGCCATCACATACGTGCATGCACACATGTACATACATGTGAACATGAAAAGAAAGCAAACATTTCTATACTATAATAAAAATCATAATTTAAAATTTTAAATATAGGTGGGGCATCAAGGTGCATCCCTTTAATCCCAGCACTTGGGTGTCAGACGCAGATCTCTGTGAGAATGTCAGGGCTATATAGTAGTGCCCATTATAACACAGCTTCCCTTTCTACAATTTCAGTTACCCTCAGTTAACTCTAGTTCAAAAATGCTAACTGGAGGCCTGAAATTATAGGTCAGTTGGCAGAGCCCTTGCCTAGGTCCATTCCTCAGTTGTCATCATTTGAAAATAAAGTATTTTAACAAAAATGGAAAATTCACGTAATAATTTGAAAGTTTTAAATAACTAATGCACTATGCTGTCACAGCTGTTCTATTTTTATTATGTTAATCAAACTGAGTCATAAATTAAACTTCAGAGATATGTGAATATAGGAAGACAGTTTGCATACAGCTCAGTTCAAGCATCCACTGAGGGCCTATGAAATTTTATTTTCATGTCCAAGATAATATCTGCCACACAACTTTCTGTCTGGGGAAGATAACTCTCTTCTCCTACATGTTATGATGTATATGTCAATTCCAGAAAAAGTTTGATTTATTCTTAAGGGTACTTTTTCTTCTTTTCTACTTACCTTAGCCCAATAGCGAAAGGCTAACACCAAGGGAGTAAAGACAGGTTCCACTTTGCCAATAGCAGCAAGTAAGTCAGTAGTGAGACATGCCATATCATTTCCTGCACTCACTCTACATAGTAAGCCACTGTGAATGATAAACAAATTTCACTGCATTATTACCTTAAAAAGCGGAATACTCCAAATTCTGTGACTATCTTTTTAGGTCACAATTTAATACCCAAAAGGTCATAGTAGGGGCTGGAGAGATGGCTCAGCCATTAAGAATATATACTGCTCTTGCAGAGGACACAGGAGTTTGGATCCCAGAATCCCCATGGTGACTTTCTGTTAATTCCAGCTCCAATGGGATCCAACACTTGTGACATCTGTGGGTACCTGTACTCAGGTGTGATACACACACACACACACACACACACAAAAAAAAAAAAAAAAAACTCGCACACTTAAAAATAAAGTCAGTAAAAAAAAAACCCATTTCTTCCATTTATGTATTGTGTATGAACAAGTGTGTGCAATGGCGTGCATGAAGAAGTCAAGGAGATGATTTGTGGAAGTTGGTTTTCTCCTTCCACAACACGGATGCCAGTATCAATCGAGCTCAGGTGGTCAGGTGTGGCAACAGGTACCCTTTACCCACTTGAGACATTTAGCCAGCCCACATTTTTTGGGAGGTACAAGGATAGAATCTTGTTATATGGCCTATGATAGCCAGAAGAGAGTGTCAGATTCACTGGACTAGAGTTAAAGATGACTGTGAGCTAGTGTGTGGGTGCTGGGAACCAAACTTGGGACCTCTGCAAAAGCACCTCTGCTAACCACTGAACAATCATTCTAGCCCCTTCAGCATTTTACTTTTAACACTCTGCTAAATTCAATTTCTTATTTATATGCATTTGGTATGTCTGCTACTTTTTTTAAATTATTTTTATTTTATGATATGAGTGTACTGCCTGCATGTATGTGAGTGCACCTGTGTCGTGCAATGCCACGGACATCAGAAGAGGGCTTCGGATTCCTCTGGAATGGAGTTAAGGAAAGCTCGCAGCCGCCATGTGGGTGCTGGGAATTGAACCCGGGTCCTCT